TCACTTGATGCTGAGAAGGCATTTGATCGGGTCGAATGGGAGTGTTTATTGAATATTTTGGAAAAATTTGGATTTGGGAGCGATTTCCTTACATGGGTTAAAGCAATCTATGCAAAGCCTAGGGCAGCTGTAGTTACAAATGGTTATATTTCCCCCTTTTTTAGACAGTATAGGGGTACAAAACAAGGAGACCCTTTGTCCCCATTATTGTTTATATTATTTATGGAGCCATTAGCAATTGCAATAAGAAAGGAGGGAGCGATTAAAGGGGTGGAAGCAGGTGGAAGAGAACATAAACTCTTTCTTTACGCAGATGATATTCTTTGTTTGCTTTCAGAGCCGATATCTTCTACACAGGCTCTTCTTGACAAAGTTGATTTATTTTCTCAAATTTCGGGTTATAAAGTTAATTGGCATAAGTCAGAGGCTATGGCCATTTCTAGAGCTTGTTATTCTACCATGGTGACTGCAGGGAATTTTAAATGGCTCTCAACTGGGATGAAGTATTTAGGGGTTAAATTGTGCGCTAATATAATGGATATAATGCACATTAATATGGCTCCTCTCCTTATTAAGATAAAGTACAGCCTGGAGAAATGGAAAGTTCTGAATTTAACATTATGGGGAAAAATTAATACCATTAAAATGGTGATTGTGCCACAATTTAATTATTTATCAATGATGCTTCCGATTTCAATAAGTGAAGAGTATTATTATCAATATAATCAGATGGTAAAGGAATATCTATGGAATGGAAAGAAACCAAGGATAAATCAACAAAAAATGTATGTAACAAGAAGGGATGGGGGTCTTGCTTTGCCAAATGTGGAGCTGTATAACATTGCCTTTGAAGTGGCTAAATTAACAAAACATGGTGGTAGAGAGGACACTTATTTAGGATGGGTAGCTATAGAAAAAGAATTTACTGCCCCCTTTTGGCCTTTAGAAGCTTTGTCACAAAAAAGAGCACAAAAGAAGGAAGCTGAGCATAAAGAGAATAATCCAATATTACAGCATTCTAAAAATATCTGGAACAAACTCCACAAATGGTTAAAGATATCCCAGTATAAACAATTATATTCATCAATTTGGTATAACCCAGCAATAAGGGTGGGAAAGGAAGTCATCTGTTGGAATTTGTGGAGAGAGAGGGGCATGAGAAAATTAGAGGATCTAATCGACAACAGAAGAGTGAAATCGTATCAGGACTTGAGGCTACAATTTAACATGGATAGTACAGGTAACTTATGGAGATATTTCCAAATAAGAAGTAGCTTGGACAGTTTGGTTAAGGAGCTGCCTGAAGAGGACAATGTTGTACAGCTCTATTTAAAATTGGCAGAAAAGTATCAGTCAGTATCTATGTTTTATAAGATGGCAGCCACAGTATTATATGGAAATTATGATGGCTTAAGGCATGTTTGGCAGAGGGATTTAAGCATAAGGTTGGATAGAGATTCATGGCAAAGGATAATGTCCAATATGGGATGGTTTACCAGGGAAGCACGGGGAAAGCTGACACATTATAAGATAATCCATAGATATTATTTTACACCGGTTCGTCTTTATAAAATGGGTTTAATGAAGAACAATTTATGCTGGAAATGTAAAAGGCAGGACGGTACTTTTATTCATTCTATGTGGTCATGCTATGTTGTTCAACCTTTTTGGAAATAAATACTGAATACAATGCAAGAGTGGTTGGGTATACCGCTCCCGGAAACTGCTCGACTTTGTTTACTAGGAGACTTGTCGTGTGTACCGAATATATCTACAACGGCAGGGGCCCTAGCTCTTACAGGTTTTATTTCAGCAGCTAGAGTTATACTGCGTAAATGGAAAAGCTCTGAGGCACCTGTTTACAGAGACTGGATAATAACGATGATGGAGATTGCATCTTATGAACTATTAATTGCTAAAATGAAGGGAAAAAAAGACTCATATTTTGAAACCTGGAATGAATTTTTGTTTTTTATTGGTAAAAAGATATAAAAGTGGTTGGATAGCATGTTTGGAAGTTATTATGAATGGTGGTTGTGAGTGGTTTTGAGTTAACCAGTGCTGTATGGGAGGGGAGGGGGGGTTATTTGGGTATTTTGTTTTTGTTTGTATGTAAAAATTTGGAAAACTTAATAAAAAAAACTTGAATAATAAAAAAAAATATTTACCTTTTTATTTTAATTTTTAACAACAGATCACTTCTGCGAGGTAGCTTGAACAATCAAGTAATAAATAACATAAATTCTTCACTTTTGGACTTTATTGCAAATATAAAAAGTCTAATATAATAACAGATAGCACTTCAACTTAAAATACCTGGCAGGGTTCTATTTTGCCTCGGCCCCCAAAATGCTTAGATACTCTCCTGGGCATGGGACGGAGTTTTGAAGATGATCTGAATTGTATTAACGATATAAATACTACATGCTGATAAATTATTGCTTTATACAGGTACAAACGTGTAGTGGGATCAATCTACCTACATTTTATTTTTTTAAGAACTTTGTTTTGTTTTCTTGGTTTTTATTTTTCTATCTTCCTGTCCTGTCTGTCTCTGCTCTTCCTGCATCTCCCTGTCCTCCAGAAAAACCTGCCTGCTTCCTTCTTTTTCACCTCACAAGTAACTTTTTAACTAGCAGATCAAATTGATCTATTGACTGCAAAAAAAGCAGAGTGTGCACTGCGCCGCGCGGCTGAGCCAGTGACGAGCGCTGCAGCACGAGTGTGTCCACACGTCATGCTCAAATACAGACAGAACTTACCAGAGAGAAAATGAACGGACACGAATGGCTGTGCAGGGCCGGCTTTGCCGACAGGCGACACAGGTGGCCGCCTGGGGCACCATCTGATGGATAGGGCGCAAAATAAAAAAAAATAAAATGTTTATTAAATTTATGTATGTTATATGAAATGCACTCTCTACATACTCAAAATTCCCCTTTGAAATGACATGAAATTAAAACATCAATATTTAATTTCTAATGATCTGGCTGCATGACGAGCTCCCGCTTGGGCCACCGCTTCGATGCATTTGACCGTTAAGGGTGCCGTAGATCACGTGCGTGGGTAGCGCTGTAGAAGGACATCCTGTTGTCGTCGCGTTTAAATGTTTGATATTTTACGATGAAAAAAACACCTAAGCCATCGGGATCAGCATTCCGAAAGCGAAGGAAGGAGGAAGAAAAAAAAACGGACCCAAAGCAGAGGTATGCAGACTTTATAAATTTGGCAAAGGAACTTTTTGCGTTACAATTTTAGCTAACTGCCTCTCCTGCCACGCACGGTCCACGGACGGGCCCTCGCTAGCTGTTTACTTACACAATACAGTATCTGTAACTTTAACCCATTCATTTTACTTTTGAATCATTGTGTCCAGATGCAGTGAGACAATATCTGCAGTCTGTCGACAGGCACCTGTTGACACCACGGGGGCGGGACTGTCTTCTACACCTGTTGAGCCTCACTGTGATGATGAAGAGTGTAAGATTTTTTACCGTTTTTTTGGAGTATGATTGCAGTCTTTTTATGAACTTCGATTCAAGTTTTAAGTACACATACAATATGAATTTAATATTTTCATATCAGAAGAACGTTAGGTGTGGGAGTAGCAAAATTTAAACTTTGTCCTTCACATCGGGCGGGCAGCACCGCCGCCGGGCCCGGCGGTGAGTGAGAACTGCCTAAACACAGCATGACATCTTATGGCATCTCTTTCTTGTTTACGCTGCAGCGTCTTCTATCCAGGCATCACGCAGCAGCAGCACATTTACTGAGCTACAATCTCAGCATCTAGAACCAGGTGAGTAAGTTACTTGTTAGGCTATTTGTAATCAGCAGTAGAAACGGGCTTTTTCAAATTAAACGGCTTATCACATATATCGATTCGCAAAATTAATTTATTTAAATCCACACCAGACACGTGTTTTTGGCACAATCAGTGCAGCATTGATTTAGCATTGAGAATATTAAATAATCTGAACACACACATCTGAAATTGTCTCCTTAAGATGTTATTGTCAGTTAGGCTGTAAATTTGTAAAAAAGGATGGACGTTAGTTTTTGTGACATTAGTAAGTCATAAAGGTTTATGCCCTGAAGAAGGTGGTACCGAAACGCGTCGGCGTTTCCTTGTTTAATAAATGAAATCCTCAGAGTGCCTCAGATCACCGGATCTTCTTCCTCATATTCTACAATTTATTTGATGCTGAAGAGCACCTGAGAGTGAGACATACGTTTTTTCACACATGGGCAGTCTCGCCTTGGGCACCAAATTACCTAGAGCCGGCCCTGTGGCTGTGTGTTAATTATATATTTTTTGGTGACACCACTTAGAAACTTAGAAAATGTTACTGTGGCCGTGTGCAGAACGCAGCTGGAGTTCATGAATAATCAACGATCTGCCTGCTGCTCTGCTCTAAAGAATCCCGCTACGCTGAGTCCATATAAATAATATAATAAAGGTAGAAACTGGATCTCTTTTGTGCTCCTTCTGGGTGTGTAAGTTAAGGGCATCGGGGGAGCCTGACAACCTTTAAGGAGAACCAAGTTGCTCTCCTGTAATTTGAAACCAGTATCCAACTCTGAATCGGGGTTTAGATCGGGAAGTAAAGCCCGAGTCCCGATCAGTCTGAAACCACGGGATTGGGGCTGATTTCCGATCATGTGATCGGATCGGGACATCCCTATCATCCACATAAAGCCGAGATGAGGTTCTCCTGCCACCAAACTCTTTTATTCTGAAGGTGCCGCTAACAGGATGTGATGTGTGGAGTGTTAAGAGGGAAGAGAGGGGACAAAGTAGCTGGAGTGTGTAAAACGGAACTAATGGTGGCATTAAACACTGACCCTGATAGTTCACGGCTATCGTCCGCCCTTGAGTGAAAACAGCTTTACATCCTCTCTAGTCTCTCTTCCCATCTAACACTTTATAAATAAACTGAACTGAACTAAGAACATCAGGAGGGATGAAATAATTTGTTCCTCCAGGGAACTGATTGTTGAATTCCAGTAACAGATGGATCAGTTTTCTCTTTGTCCCTAAAAACCTGCAGCTGTGTGATTCCAGCTAAATCTGCTCTGTTGATCGTTTCCCTCAGATCTTCAACAGTTTCTCTTTCCACTGTTATTAGTCTCATTCTGTCACCTTTTGACCTGAACCTGTGTTCCACACCTTCATCTCTTCCTTGTTGTTGCTGGTCCAACTCCAGTCCAGTAGGTGGCGCTAACGCGCCTTCACGCTGCCACATGACCGGAAGCTGTTATCAGAGCTAGCTTGCTGTTAGCTGCCAGCGCTAGCTTGCTGTGCTGGTGTGTGAGGGGAACCTCTGAGGCTCTGCAGCAACAATGTCTTCAGCTCAGTCTCTGAGAGAGGTGATCAGAGAGCGGCTAACTGCTGCTGCTGCAGAAATCTTCTCCGAGTTTGAAAAAACCATCGTCCGCTACGAGGAAGAGATCGATCGTCAGCGCAGACTGCTGGAGATCAGCTGGAAACCACAGATCAACTTACACAGAATAGGTATGAAACAGCAGCGGGACTCATGTGGTTTTACTGAGGACACAATCTCAGGACAGTCTGCTTGGATCCGTTTGCTGTTCTGAAGCTTTTTGACACAACTGAGCTGAAATCAGTCTGCGGTAAACTTTGTTCCACTTTAGAGAAACAAATCAATAACATTTCAGGGATTTTAGGAAGTTTTCATTTTCAGGAACTCCACTAAATCAGTTTAAAAGAGACAAACTTTAAAGACTTGGTGAACGTTTCCAGCTGATGTTCTACAATCAGAGACTTGTTAAACGAGTCAGTCTGATAGATACTGAGTCCAGTCACACACACACACACACACACACACACACACACACACACACACACACACACACACACACACACACACACACACACACTCACACACACACACACACACACACAGGTTAAGAGTTCATTGTTTTCTAAAACATCTTCAGATGCATCAGATGGTTCAAGTGAAGTGTGCTTTCTTATTGTCACATGACTCAGCTTTTTGTTTGGTCTGTTTGTCTGTCCAGAACTCCCACTGCATTATGTCAGGACAGATGAGGAGGTTCTGACTGACCAGCAGCTCTGGAACCAGGAGAGGACCTCCAGTTTGGAGCAGGAACAAGCAGAACCTTTACAGGAGGGACCAGAACCTCCACAGATGAAAGTGGAGCAGGATGAGCCAGAACCTTTGCAGATTGTAAAACAAGAGGAGCTCTGCATCAGTCAGGATGAAGAGCAGTGTGTACTGAAGCAGGAGACGGTGACCTCCCTTGTGACTCCTGCTGGTGAGGAAAGAGACCACGATGAAGCAGAACCAGACAGACACCAACTCCTTTTGTCACTGTTTCCTGAGGCTGAGATCAGAGCTGCTGCTGCTCCGGGGTCAACAGGTGAGGGGGGGGTGCTATGTTTGTTTTCCTTACTGTGATGTCACAATAAGGGACTTCTTGAAACTGCTCATTTTAGGCAAATCAGCTTTATTTTAGGGCTGCCTTTTATGTGACGACTTTAGTCAAATAAAAGGCAAATCTGCAGCGAGGCTCCTAACTGGAGCAAACGGAAGAGCTCACATCACTCCTATTCTAACATCTCTGCACTGGTTACCCGTTAACTTTAGAGTTAATTTTAGAATCCTGACTATATTTTAAGTTTGGATCTAACGCTGGTGCCGCGGTAAAAAAACAAAACTGCATTCCACTATAATTGGTTATGGCTTGCTTCTTCAATGAATCATAATCATATTTCGATACATTGATTATAATGTTTTGTAAGTGGTCACAATTAGTAAGTAAACCAACCAAATTATAAGTAAAACACATAATTTCTTGCCCAAAATTCCCATGATGCAATGCAAGAAACATTAGCATACTGAAATATAAATGACTCATGACTGGAACATAATAGGGATGCACCGATCAGGCTTTTTGCTGCCAATCACCGATACCGATATCAAAGAATGCTGATCACCGATACCGGTCACCGATACCGATCACGTGGATTGGCCAGACATTTTCTACAACATTATAATGAGTGCTACAAACTACATAATCTGGGAATAAAGGAAATGTAACCTAATCTAAAATGGTCTGTATTAGGGTTGTCACGGTGTGAAAATTTAACCTCACGGTTATTGTGACCAACATTACGACGGTTTTCGGTATTATCGCGGTATTTTTTTTTAAACGTGCTACATTTTCACACAATTAAATAAACCCTGTATGTCAGGAAATATTGTCCTCAGTTTGTGTCTAAATTTTGCCTAAAATGTGTTATTTTGTAATTATGTTTTTTGTGTAGTGTAATGGTTTATGGCTCTTTTATTAAAGAGGAACCATTCTACATATTAATTCGTAATATTAATTTTAATAAATTAATAACCAAATTTTATAGTGTTAAGAAGACTCAAAGGTTGTTTTCATCGATAAACTGATGATCATATCCGTGGGTCTGTGTTTCAGTTCAATGAAAAGACAAGTTGATGTGATGTGATTATGGATGCGTGTGTGCAGATGTAGGTTGCTTCAGGGGGAGAAAAGGTGTCTCTGAGTGAAAATGATGGTTTGAATTAAACTTAGTTCTTATCAGAAAAGATGCATCAGAACGCTATCTGTCGTGTCTGCCTCACCGTACGAGGATCCCCTTTTCAGACCCGGATCCCAGGAGGGTGTGTGCTCCAGATGACACCTTGGCTGGCAGAGGAGACAAAGGTGTGCTGGCGATCCAGTCCAGAGTTGCCCCCCGGTACACGTTGTTTAAATTAACTCAGAAATCAAAGACTCTGGACGAGTCTGCAGTAGCTGGCTGCGTTTCAGCTATCCTGTCTGGCTTGACAGGAATAGCGTGGGGGGGGGGGGGGGGGGGGGGGTACAGGAGCCGGCGGCTCCGTTCCCCGTTGGCGTTTGTTCACACGTCCTCTCTCTCTCGTTGTCAAACTCGAACTGAAACATGAACTGACTATTAGGGCTGCAACAAACGATTATTTGGATAATCGATTAATCGGATGGGGTCTCGACACGATCAATCGATTAATCGGATTACATAGGGACATTTTTAAAAACTGCTAGGGAAACGTTATTTTTCTCCTTCCCTCACTTTATTAAACACAACATTATTAGAAAACAGTTCAATAGCAGAAAAACAACATGCCATCACCTAAATTGTCTTATAAGGTGTAAAGACAGAGACCCTAAGCTACGCCTATCTGTGACCTAAAATGCTTGGTCCAAGTTAAACAGCTTAAAGAGCAAGTCAACCCCTACCAGAGTCTAATTCCACTCCCACTTCATGTTTGAAAAATGCAACACATGCTGTTGCCTGGCAGACCGAGAGGGCGGAGCTGCTAACAAATACACACACACTCAGGCTCACGACAGCATTGTGACATCATAATGTACCAGTTTACATCATAGCATACTTCTTAGCCAATAGCGGTGGCAGATTTAAATTAAAATACAGTGCAGAGTTTTTACCTGACAACGGCACAACACTGCCAGTTTTAGGCAGAATATTTAAATTTTAACTAAGATGCACTGAAGTGCCAAATTATTGACGACACGTGTCTGCAGCATGATTAGACACTCGTTTATTTAGTTTATCAACAAAAAAAAGTTTATTTGGGGTGACTTGCTCTTTAAGGGCAATTCTCATCTGTTTTGTTTGATCTCATCTGTAGACATTTATTATAATTGGGGATGTCAAACAACTAATTTTTAAATGTAATTAAACATAGGCTGTGAATTAATCAAAATTAATCACTATTTCCAAAAATCACTGAAAAATACCAAATAAAACAAAAGTAAATGAATGCCATCCTCCATGTGATGATGCCCTGGGCAACTGCCATAAAGTCACATCAAGAAATGCTGCTGATCATTCCAATGATCCCAAATAGACTCGCATTAGGCCACATGAAAGCAACTGAACCCAAAAATATATTAACCAGTATATAACTGCACTCACACAACACGCCTGCAGCAACAGTTAGGACTCATCCCTCCCTTTTAAAAGCATTTTCGCTTCTGAGGACATTGTGGTTGTGAAGCCACATGCTAGTAGTCTGGCCCCGATGTGATCAACCAGTTTCTGCGGGAATGTGACGGCGGAACCGGTTCGCAGCTGTGCGAGTCCCCCCCCCCCCCCCCCCCCCCCCCCCCCCCGCCTATCTAATAGCGTCGCGCTTACAATTTTAAAGACTTTTTTTACGAGCTTAGGGCATGTCTAGCCTGTGTAATAATCCGGGGCTTGGGTGAATCACTTTTGAAAAGTTTTTAACTTACCCGGACACCGAGCTCTCTCCCTCCTCGCTGATGATTCTGACATGCTTGCGTTTAAGACGCTGCATCATCACCGTAGTATCCCCGTGCCATGCTGATTCTGACCTACAAACGTTGCATGTCTTCGCCTGATTTAACTGAAAATGCTCCCAAACTTTAGAAGTTTTTACTTTTTTGGGGTCTCGCTGCTTCTGCCGTGCCTCTTACAAACACCTGCCGGCTCTCCACCGGTCTGCGCGCAACGGCGGGCGGGAGGGGAGGGGGCTTTTGGAAGAGTTGCGCAACACAACGAATCGATGACGCAATTCGTTGCCAACGCTTTTAGTAATCGATTTTCATCGAATTTATCGATTCGTTGTTGCAGCCCTACTGACTATCTTACCAAAAGCCACTTCTCTTCCCAAAGCAAACTTGTGCGTCAGAGCAAATGTGTTTTGGAGTTACTGTGAATGCAGACCTGTGTGAGCGAGTGTGAAGGTCATCACCAAACATCTCCCAACACATTATTTAATTAAGTATTGATTCATTATAGTTCATTATGATTACCCAAAGCATAATAATCATTCATTTGATTAAAACACATTTATAATGAGCAAAATGATCAAATGATTATTTAACATTTAATATAAAGAAAAGGAAGTTTAAGACTTTTTTTTGTTATGACTAGATTTTGTGAGAACTCCTTCTTCGGGAAGCTGCAGGTGTTGGATGTTGTGGTTTGCTGCAGACTCGCTGGCGGGGAAGGTCTTTATCTGTGGGTGAAAGTTCTGCGCGACCCAGCTTTTGACCCAGCCGGGCAAATACAGCCTTTGGCACAGAAAACCCATATTTCCTCACGTTACATTTGTTTACATTTTTTCCCTTTAGTCTTTAAAATACCAATATTTGCCCATAACTTCTTATTTTATGTCTGTTTGATGTCGTCATTTTACAAATATTAGATCAGATGATACTCAGTACTCAAGTAGCCTTCTAATCAGATACTTTTTACCCTTACTTGAGTAATACCATACCACTTTATTTATATAGTGCTTTCAACACGGCATTACAACCATACAAAGCGCTGCACAAAAAACAAGCAAGAAAACACAAGTTAAAATAGTCAGGTAGATGGAAAATGTAAAAAGGAGCAAAAGAAATAAAAACAAGACTATTAACAGTAAAAGCAAATTAAACCAGAATATAAAAACACAAAATTAAAATTGAATTGTCTAGGAGGGACAATGGATGAGCTAAGGAGTTATGGAATTAGGGATCTAATGCGTAAGTGAAGTAGAGGGTCTTCAGACGAGATTTAAAGACGGCGATAGAGGAAGCTTGCCTAACCTGCAGTGGTAATGAGTTCCATAACTTTGGGGCGCAGACTGAAAAAGCCCTTTCCCCACGAGTCTTCAAACGTGCCTTAGGGACAGTTAAGAGGAGTTGATCTTCAGACCTAAGAGCTCGAGGAGGGTGGTAGTAATGAAGGAGATCACACAGATAGGGAGGTGCTTGACCGTTCAAGGATTTGAACGTGAGAAGTAAAATTTTATAATTGATCCTGAATTTAACGGGCAACCAGTGAAGCGTTTTAAGAATATGTGAGATGTGGTGTCTTCTTTCAGCCTAATAAACCCTATATCAGGAAAATATTGTCCTCGGTTTGTGTTCCAGTGAGCTTTGCAGATGTGGGGAAAATGTCATCAGGCAGTAATCATTGTTAAATTCATAATTATTCTCGGAGAGAGACCAACTCTTATCTGCCCCTGGGAGTCCCGTAATGCATAGCGTCATTTCAACATGGGGGTGTCCGCGACACGGTTTATATGCAAGTAGCGGCACTGCGGCTGCTTTGTATAGAGACTCGTTGCATTCTCCCTCAACCCAAATCCTCGGATCACGCATTTTAGCTAAAACGCTAACGTTAGCTTGCCTTGCGTTGACTGTAGAGTTGTGGGTGATGGTCACCCTTTGACCATTATTTCAGCTTTAGCTTCAAGAACGTTTTGGTTGTAAACAACAAAGTGCGCATGTGCCGCCAGCAACTTCAGCAAATGATACGGTGGCTGGTAAGGGTCACCGCGCCTACACCGCAGTCACGGTGATCCACCAAGATAATATAGTTTTATTTTAAAACA